GGCAGAAGGGTTGAGAAGGAGGAACACACCTGGCCAGGATTATAGAACAGTAAGAAAGCAGTGGGAGCAAAGTGGGGGAGGGGGGGTCACACATGGCTTCACAGGCTTTTAAAGAACTTGGCTTTTATTCTGAATCATGTGGGGAACATTGGGGATTTTGAGCTGAGGAATGACATGAACTGATTAACATTTTAGCAGGATTCCTCTGGCCGCTGGGCTTGCATAGAGATTAAAGCAGGGAAACCAGATAGGAAGCTATTACAATAATCCAAATGAGAGAAAGTAGATGGAGAGGAAAATCAGAATGTAATAATTGCTGGTTATTTGTTTTCTTCTTTATACTTTTCTGAATTTTCCATTTCTACATTGACTCTTCATGACTTTTCTAATCCAAAAGAAAAACAAAAGTCTTTAAGGAGCCAAATGTTTGTGAGAACTTTTAGTCCTCAGCATTTTTTGGTTTTATTAAAATATAGATGCCCGTGGAATTCTTAGTAAGATTTCAGCACAACAGGGTTGCTATAAAACAACACAAAGATGAGAGTCAAAAACTGTTGACTTTAGTCTGTGCAGACTTTGAACATAACAATGTCAGCTGAAAAACAAATGTGAAAGGACTTCATGTACCCTTTGAATATTTTTATTGCCTTTGTGCTATGTATTTGACCATTCTTTTTCAATTTTAATTTTAATTTTTTTTTGAGAGAGAGAGAGCAGGCATGTGCATTTGCACGTGTGAGCAGGGGAGGGGCAGAGGGAGACAGAAAGACAGAGAATCCCAAGCAGGCTCTGTGCTGCCAGCATGGAGCCTGACAGGACTTTATCTCACAATGGTGAGATCATGAGCTGAGCTAAAAGCAAGAGTCCTTAACTGACTGAGCTACCCAGGCACCCCTGACCGTTAACCTTCAAATATTTCATATACAAGCATTCCTTTGTGACTGGATTTCAGGATTTCTAGGTACTTGGCTAGGAGATAACTCTGGATAAAAATCTGTTTAATTAAATTAAAAACATATTTATTGAGCACCTATCATTTCCAAGGAATAGTGCTACACGAAGATAAAAAGAAGTGTTCCTCTAGGTATTTTTCTGTCATGGTAAAGATGATAGAGCTTTAAAGTCATTTTTAGTATATTGGCTACAATACCTTGCTCACCTGTTTATAATTTAGGGAGTTTTATTTCATTTAGCAAATGTTTATGCCACATCTCCTATGAACTGGAAATAGAGAATCCTACATGGGGATGCAAAGGCGCCTGAGTAATAGACGAGCCCTTGAAGAGTACATGGGCTAGGTATAAAAATTTCATCTCAGTCTCAAGTACATGGGAAGTGAATGGCTTATCCCAAATCCAGAAAACGTAAACTTTTTTGGTCTTCAGTCCATCACAGTGGCTGCTATAATTGTCAATATCAATGCCTAGATTTCCTTTGCAGACAGAAAGCTCCATCTTTTCTGTAACCCTTGTTGGTAGAGAGATCTTATGCTACTTCTCCTCAAGCCATGTGCCAGAGGGACAAAAGTCTCAGGCACTTACAGAAAACTGTTAACCACCCTCTCCCCTGCACATTTCTTCAATTTCCAGAAGCTCATCTTCTCTCCTAAGATTAAGCCATTTCCCTTTTCCATTCCCTAAGGAAGATCCAGGTGGGGATGTCTGGAAAATATCTGGAAACTTCAATTTTCAGCCCAGACACATGAAAACCATTGATAACCATTAGAGACAAAGAAACTCAGACTCATGATGTGAAAGATCTAGCTACCCAAGAATTCTGGGAGGAAAAGTGACCTTCATTCTTCTAAGACTTATATTGCTTGAGTATAAAATACTAATACTAGTACAACCAGTTACACCACCATGCTGCTCATCCTCTAAGATGGGTTGGTCAAGTTTTTAAAAGTTTTAAAATTGGTAAAGGGCCAGATAGCAAATATTTTAGGCTTTGCAGACTACACAATCTCTGTCACAACTATTCAATTCTGCTGTTGTAGTGTGAAAGCAGTCATATATAATATGTAAACAAATAAGTGTAGCTGTGTTCCATCAAATTATACTTACAGACACTGAAATATTAATAGAATGTTTATGTGTCTCAATAAATTGTGCTTATTTTGATTTTTCCTCCCATTTTAAAATGTAAAACCTTTCTTAGCTCATGGGTTGTACAAAAATAAGCAGTGGGCTAGATCTGGCCTTTGAACTGTAGTTTGATTTCTGCTTTAAGACAGTCAGATGAGAACTTTAACATGAATGTCTCCAGAGTGCAAAATTATTTTCTTCCTTAAATAATACATTTTTATATTTATCATTTTGCATTTATCACAGTCCTTACCAATTTCTGTCTTCAATGATTACTCCATGTGCACACATCTGTCTCTCCCAGGTGACTGTGCTCCCTTTAAGAGAAAGCAATGGTCGTGTACTTCTCTGAGCTCCCACAGAGCCTAGGTGTTCAAACTATTGTGATCAAATGAAACTGAGCACTGGGGAGAATAAAGTTGAACCGATAAAACAAGTTTATCATAGCGTATCATTTATACGAGACTGGCTTTGTTCCAGTAAAGGGCTATGAGATTTGTTATGAATGGTTTGTAATTATCTGTGTGAGCTCTCATTTTCTTATTCCCCCTAACTATCCCTGTTTACTTGTTGAATTACTTTTAAGACAGTTCTTTGAGGACCAGATCTGTATACAGAACTCTGCATTGCTAAGTTTCAACAGGAAAACTAGTGTTTCCGAAAAATGTCTTTTCTACTTATGATTTTATTTTTAAGGTTGTCGGAAAAATGTGAAATGATATTTGCATGTATTTTTAAAGATTAGAAAACTTGAAGTTATTTTTTCTTTATATATGATTCATTTGGTTCATAGGTAAATAGCTTTTAGAAAATTAGCATGATCCTTTCTTTTGTCCTAGTAATATCTTATGCTTTCCTGCTTTGTATTTTATTAACTCTGCACAATAGTCTTGTGAGGTAGGTTGGACAGGAATAAAGATTCTTTTAGGTACAATTTAAAAAAATAATAATAACCCCAGACCACTGAAGCCAAAAAAACACAATGTTTTTGCTTAGGTAACTGAGAAGTCTAGGGATAGATCTTTCTTGCATCTATGGCTGAATCCAAAGATTCAAATGACATCATCAGGGTCCTGTGTTCTATTGTTCAGTCAGATCTATTCTATTTTGTAATTTGCCCTCATTCCCTCCCACTGCAGACAGGCCTCCTGCAAGTTGCTGGAGGAGATGGCTAATAGCAGCCCTAATTTCACATCATCCCAATACAAAGACACTAAATGCAGGAAACAGCATTCCTCACCAGCTCTAGTTGGAAAATCTTTCAAGGAGGACTGTAATTATCAGCTCAACCAGGACCACTTAATGGGAGAAGAATGGTTCCTCAGAAAGGATGCTGAACAGAATGGACATTCTCTGAAGTGGGCATACTCTATGAATGGCCATCTACACATGGGAAAGGGAAGCACAGAGAAATGAAGTAACTTGTTCATAATCACACTATTGGTTGGTGAGAAAGGTAAAACAGAAATCCATGACTTCTCACTCACACCTCATACAATGCTTCTGCTTTTGCCTGTATAACCATGCTATTTCTTTGCTGGATGTATCTTTATCTCACCATTTCAAATAAAAGAGCCAGTCCCATAAGTTTTCATAAACACTATGATGTCATTCTGTTACATCTATTTGTCTTCCTCATATACATCAGTAACTTCACATTCAAGTAACCATAATTAAACCTGCCTTATTTGCTTCAGTACTTGTGGATAACTCGGGCCTTGTAAAAGATTCTGATGATTTTCTGTAATTTTGGTTTTGCCCCCGCACATTACTGGTATTTTATACCAGCATTTTAAGTTGTTTTTTAAAAGTCACTCTTAGGGGCACCTGAGCGGCTTGGTCGGTTAAGCGACCCACCTCGGCTCAGGTCCGGATCATCAGTTTGAGCACTACGTCAGGCTCCGTGCTGACAGCTCAGATCCTGGAGCCTGCTTCGGATTCTCTGTCTCCCTCTCTCTCTGCCCCTTCCCTGCTCATGCTCTGTCTCTCTCTCAAGAAATAAACGTTAAAATTTTTTTTTAAAAAGTCACTCTTGGAATACAATATTTGAATAAACACACTGACAGGTAATTATTTCTTTCTTTAATATATCCCCTAGTTTTTTGTGATGAATATTAACATAATAACACGATTTATTGTATAAGCGGCTCATCTTCCTATAAGCAGGCAAGTGGCTGTTTGGGCGGAAAATTTGACCCAGAGCCAACCCACAAAGATCCTAGTTTGGTTTTGTTCAGTACTAGTTTTGCGAATGCCGGTCGACAGCTTAAAATATGAACCTTGGTAGCTAGTATCTTCCGTGCAAAAGGAGAGTGGAATTATGGCTTTATTTTGATACTTAGTGTAGGCTAAACTCTTGAAAGTAATAAATTGATATATGAATGTTAGTACTTCTACATGCGTTTAAAATCTGGATTTTCCTATGAATTCATCAAAATAAACATGTGAAAACTTAATGAGGAGTTCCTCTTAGTAGAATTGAATCAGTTTTCTAGAAAACTCAACCCAAAATGTCTTAATTGAGAAATACACACGAACTCACAACCAGAAGGCAAAAAATGTTTCTTCTAAGTTTTTCTAAGTTCCCTGATAATTATTCTCTTTTTATATTTTCTTGTACCTCGGCTGTGCTGTTAGAAATTCTCTTTTTGGAGCAAGGAAACTACACGAGAAAAGCATTCCATCTCCTCGCTCATTCCAAACGTCCCCTTTCGAGGTTATAGCCCCCATCTCTCCAGCCAACAAGGTTCTTTGCACCTCCGGCCAAGCCCCGGACACCACCCAGAGGTGCGCAGCGCCACCTCCTGGGAGCTTGGGCAGAGCCAGTCAGGAGTCTGCGGCAGAGGGCCGACCCCTTGGTGACTGTCTTTAAGGCTCGGAACCTCAGAAACGCCTCAGTGCTTTCTGTGCACATACCCATCAGCCCTGGAAGTCCTGCTTGGCTGCGTCTCCAACGCCTCCAGTTTGCCGGAGCAGCGTACGAATCCTCAATGCTGCCTAAAGTAAGGGATGCTCTAGGGGCGGGATTTCCCATGGTGGGAGGAACTTCACCCTGTGGGCGGGGCTTCGCTAGGTTTGGAAGGAGCTCAGCATTTGAGCAGGCTCTATGGGCGGGACTACGTTACGAGGGTGGGAACCCGCTCCTGAGCGGAACTACGTTTGGTAGGCGGGGCTTCGTCTGCGTCAGGCCGCGCTCTGTGGGTGGGACTCCGCTCGGTGAGCGGAACTATGGCCTGTGGGAGGAATTTTGACTGGCTCCTTTCCCCCCGGAACTTCCTGGATCGTGTGTGTGCAGATGGCGTCGCTTGGAGTTTGACGTGCTGCACGAGGTTATCGAAGTTATGGTAAGATGTTGATAAATTTTCTGGCAAACTGTCGTGAAGTTTCAGGGGGTTGGGACAGGACCGGTGGGTCTTGTACCGCTGAGGCCCGGCGGCTGGGTTCCATCGCGCGCGGCCTCAGGGCAATCCTACTGGGCAGCGGCGTGCCTGCTGGCCGAGGCCTGAAACCAAGGTGCCTTTGGGCCTTAAGCCCTTGTCAGGGTACCAGTATTTCGTTGTCTCTTGTCATCCCAATTTTCACGTTGTTGTCAACAAAATTTCAGTATTGCCTCAGCCACCACGGTATTCCCTTCTCCACGAACCTTTCTCAAGTCCACGACTCTAGTAGACCTCTCCCTCTTGTGTCCATTTGTATGCTTCATGTAGCGACACATATCATGTGTCCGTGTTTGTATCACATACGTGTTTTTGTATTGTCACATTTATAGCACAGCTGGCACATAGTACGTTATTAATTCTAGATGAGTGATTGAATTTTTGGTTACTATTGGAAAGAAGGATTTTAGATTATTTAATTGGGGGGATATGATGTGTATTTTCTACTTCCTCTTTAGTAATCATGAATTTCCTATTGTGTTGATGTCTGGCTTTTTTTTATAAGTAGGAGGAGTACCGTTGGTGCTTAAAAGCATTGCTGTCCCTAAGTAGTTTACTGAGGCTAGACATTGAAGGAGAATATAAATTTAAGTCCAGAGATAAAAGTTGAGGAAAGGAAAGAAAGAATGTGCAAAGTGTCTTCAGACAGCAATTCGTAGGCTAGGATGGGTATGTATAGAGAGGTAGCAAGAGATGTGTTTGACATATTTATGCTAGATTTGGGGTTCTGGCAATATACCAGGACAAAGCTCACTGTCGCTAAGGCATGGGAAAAGTCACTGGAAACTTTTAATATCGGAGAGGTTCATCGCACAGCACTATGCATAGACTTGAATGCAGATGGCTTAAGCCAGGGGTTGGCACTCTTTCTGCAAAAGGCCAGATAATAAATACTTTAGGCTTTGTGGACTATTGTTGTAGCAGGAAGGTAGCCACAGACAATACATGATCAGGCTGACATAATTGTGTTCTACTAAAACTTTACTTACAGAGACAGGTGCCTGATCTGATTTGATCCATTGGTATAGTTTGCCAATCTATGGTCCAACCAAATGGACCTAGGGACCATGCTGGTAATACAGTCCTGAACTAGGCAGTACTATACTATGTTTCTGTATTGGCTTTATTTGTATATGAGAGACCAAATCACATGATGTTAGCTCTGGATCTAATCTTCCTGGCTTTGAATCCTGACATTTCTTGATTACTAACAGTGTGACATTGGGCAAATTAGCCTTTCTGCATCAGTTTTATCTATAAAATGGGGATAATAGTACCTCCCACAGTGTTGTGCAGAGTAAATTGGCTAAAGCAATAAAATATTCACATAGTGCTTATACACATTTTAAAACCTCAATCAATCTTAACTATTAATATTTTAAAAATTTTCCTCATATGCATTGTTAAAGCAGATTTGAAAGATATTTCTATGGTAAAATTTACAGGCTACGTGCATGTTTAACTATAGAGCAAAGAAAATATCTAAAATTTCACAACAAGAGCCATTCACATAGAGGTGATATGAAAGTTGTGAAAGTAAGGTAGGAAGTGCAGAATTAAGGACTGATTTTGAAGAAGTGTACATAGGAGAGAAAGGCAAGTAAAAAGGAATGAAAAAGGAAGAAAGGGAGAGGAGTCCATCCTAAAGTATGATAGGAACCAGAGTGGTATAGTAGTATATAAACCAACAGAAGGATGGATGGTGGTGGTTAATGTTGTCATATGCTGCAGAGAGCTGAGAAAACAATTGTGTTGATAGTATTAATGAATTCAACCCGCAGAAATTAACATGGTACTTCCTATGGGCCAAGTATTGGAAATACAGAAAAGAATTAGGCACATACTCTGCATTAAACAGCAGAAAACTTAGTAGTGACGAAAGACATTGAAATAATTTAATACGTACAGCAACTTTAAAAAATCCAGAGTAAGATGGAATTTCTTACACTAAATTGGTACCTTTATTTTAAAAACTTAAATTGAGCTTAATTGAGTTCCGTTTCTTTTTTCCCTAGACAATGGCCAAGAGCAAACTAAGAGGACAGAGGTCCAGAAATGTATTTCATATAGCCAGCCAAAAAAACTTTAAGACTAAAAACAAAGCAAAACCGGTTACCACTAATCTTAAGAAGGTGAGTATTATTTAAGTACTCTGACAGTATCGTTTGCAAGCCAAGCATAGTTGTAAAGCCACTGAAAAACTCAAAGCTATTATTTAAAACAGGTTCTTAGCCTTCCTCACAAAGGCAAGATAATTTTAAACATTTGGTTTTTTTTAATGAGAAATTACCCCCCTTTTTTGATGTATATGTATGAAAAGAAAAAAGCGCTTTTTTTTTTTTTCTTTTTAAAGACAGAGAAAACACGTGAGTGGGGGAAGAGGGCCAGAGGGAGAGAGAGAGAACCCTAAGCAGGCTGCACACTCAGCTCAGAGTCTGACACAGGGCTCGATCCCACAGCCCTGGGATCATGACCTGAGGTAAAATCAAGAGTCAGACACTCAACCAACAGAGGCACCCCAAGAAAAAAGCACTTTAACTGCAAATGCATGAGGCTCCAAAGAACAGTTTTAAAAGCTTTATCAGAGCATAGAAATTATCCAAAACCATGGTGTGGGAAACAGTTCTTATCTCTGACCCCAAATATATTCAAGAACCTCCTGACAGAATCGAGACATGAAATGCTGATCGGCACCCATTCTTTTTCTTCTCAGTAATTCTTATCTCCCTGATATCTAGAACTCAAACAAAAACCTATAAAATGAAGATAAGATACTTCCTTAAAGTGCAAAATTGGGAAAGAAAGGAGTTTATTGTGGTTTTTTTGTGTTTTTTTCCTCAAAATATTTGGGAAATGGGAAATTTCTTCTTCAAGATTAAGTAGATTCTTTCAGGAAATTCTTCAAGAAAATGTTTTCAAGTTTAAGTAGTAGGTGGAGTCAGGTCTCCAGGACTTTGTAATTGGCAAAATAGTCAAAGATATGTAACACTTTATCTTTCAGTTTTCATGAACTAGCTAAGTTAAGCATTTTGATGGAGCATTTTTATGACTTAGTGAAGGCTATAAAGGAAATAAAGCTAGGTGATATGGTGGGGTAGGGAGTGACAGTTTTACACAGGATTGCTTTCAAAGTTGACATTCAAGCCAAGATCCAGATGGTGGGGAGCAAGTAATGCCGCAGGATTTTTTACCTCAGGACCCTGGGTTCGTCGTCTCACCTCTTCAAAGAATGAAGAGGTGTACATAGAAAATGAGCAGCAGGCAAAGGTTTATTATTAGAGTATAAGATTGGAGTGTAAGAGTAGTAAGTAGGAAAGCTGTCTTTACAGGGAGGGGGCATTCAAAGTGAATGCCTAAGGACTGTAGGCAAGGGTCCTTGTTACCTAAGGTTCTTGTCACCCCCCAGCCCTTCCCCCTTGTTCCTTCTCAGGTGTTATACCCTTACTGGCTTGCAGCTCTTGGTGCTGTATTGTCCATTCCTGATTGGCTCATTTCCATCGTACCAGGGGGTGGCCTATGGTCGTACTTAGGTCTTTTGTCAAATACCTGAAGGAAGCCTGAAGGGGAGTAGGTGGGGCCTGTTACTTTAAGAGGAACCTTATGCCTGAAGGGTTTGCTGGGGTCAGACACTCCCAACATTGTTCCAAAATAAGGGTTTTTCCCTACCAGGGACCTCAGGTCCTAATCTTTACCTCTCTGCCTACTGAACCCTATCTTTTCCTTATCATAGTAATATAAAGCTCCGGAAAGTGTTGGGAGCGGCACACTTTAGGCAGAGAGAATAACAAATGCGAAGGCCCCATGCTGGGGAAAAACTTGGTGTATTTGACTGACAGGAGATCATATTGTTTGCCTAGAAGTGCTAGCCGCTTCGTGTATGCTAATGGAAAGATATATAAGGGAGGGATATCTGGGTAGGCCACCTGGTTGGGGAAGGTATCAGATAGTTTTCTCAGAAAAGTGGCCTAATTTACTAAGTGGAGGTCTTAAGATTGCCAGGCACTATATACATGGTAAGTTGAAGTTTGTGATCATGAATTGAAAGTGAAGCCAGCCAGTTAGATTTTCTGCAGATTCAGTTTTAGGCTCAGAAAAAGCTGTCAGTTGAGTTTAACTAGTTTGTCAAGCAGGTTTGATTAAGGAAGAGAAGGAAAGTTAAGAGAGTAAAGGAGTGATTGATTAAATAATGGTCACGGAATCTGGGCTGGCTAAAGGAAAAAGTGATGATACGGAAAGTGAAAAATAGTGAAATTGGTGGGAGATTTCAGGAAGATTGAAGAATTGTTAATAAGCCAAGTGAACTTGAAGAACAGGAGGTGTTACAAGTTGCAGCCAAAGGTAATCCATGGAAGTGGATGGCTGAGGTAGGTAGTGGGAAAGAATCTGGGAGTTGAGGACCTGAACAGACTAAGAAACTAGAGGGTTAGGTTTTTTTTTTTTTTTTCCAACGTTTATTTATTTTTGGGATAGAGAGACATACGAACGGGAGGGCAGAGAGGAGCATTGCGAATCGAAATAGGCTCCAGGCTCCGAGCCATCAGCCCAGAAAGCCTGACGCTGGGCCCAACTCACGGATCATGATCGCGGACCTGGCTGAATGGACGCTTAACCGACTGCGCCACCCAGGCGCCCCAAAGAGGGTTAGGTTTTTGTTGAAGCCCCTCACCAGGCATGAGAGAGGTCAGTGAGCTGAGTTTTGAGATCTTTTGTGAGGGAGCAAGTAAATGTGTTGGCAGGTGACAGTAATGAGGAAAGAGGTATTAGAATATTCTGATGCATTAGGGGCAGAGTTTTTAAGGAGAAATGGTTTCAGAGCAGCAGTGAAAAACAAGAAGATTTAAAGAGAGGAGGGTTGTAAGGGAAATTGTCCTCAGGAGACTGGAAGGGACTTCTGTTAAGGCAAGGAGGTCAAGGAAGGATTCTGAGATGGACTGTTAGAAGGAGTCTAAAGTGGAGCACCTGGTTGGCTCAACCAGTAAAGCATGTACTCTGGCCGTCAGGGTCGTGAGTTTAAGCCCCACACCAGGCATGGAGCTTACTTTAAAAAAAAATTAATTAAAAAAAAAAAAAGAGTAAAGCATTTGATCCAGGTTCCTCGTTTTACAATGAGAGATGACTGTAGCCTAGGATTGTGGTCATGTATTTAATGTGCCTATACCATGTCTAAATATGATGTATGTCCACATAATTCTTATTTTTAAAAACACAGAACCTTTTGTCTAAAACTTCCCAGTAAGACCATAAGAATTTTTGTGTAAATTATCTCCACAAATGGGTAGGGTTGATGAATTTTTACATTTTTAGGTTTAACAAGATTAAATTAAAGTTGGATATATTTTATTATTTGTGGTTACAAGATTGTAGATTAATAACCTTTTTTTCTTTTTTAAAAGATAAACATTGTGAATGATGAAAAAGTTAACAGAGTGAATAAAGCTTTTGTAGATATACAAAAGGAACTTGCACATTTCTCCAAAGGACTTTCCCTTGAACCTCTGCAGAAACAGCTGGTGAGTGTGAATCATTTCCTTTTGTTACGGCTAATAAGCTAAACTCTAACTTTTTAAAGCCTGTGGTTTGAATATAATTTTTAGTATTTGGCTCTCTACTATCCTTGGCTCTGTAGTATATATAGCATATTGAGTCATTCAGACTCTAAAACATTGAGTCCAAATACGAGAATTTACTGTTCTGTTTCCAAAGGTATGACTAGAAGATATTAAATTAGGTAATATATTATATACAAGTCATTTTTGTTGACTGTTGTTATCTACATTTTTAAATACAATATTTTTCTCCCTTCAGATTCCTCAGCAGTGTCATGAAAACGAATCAGTTAATGTTGATGAAGCAACAAGATTGATGGCTCAATTGTAATACACTGGTGATACATCAAATACCCCAAGACAACCAATAAATTAAATGTTTTATACAGTTTTATTTTTAAAAATCTTGTTAATGTACAAGCATTGGCACATTTTAAAAACAAACTACATAAACAGATCTTTCCTATAATCTAGGAAAGTGGAATGTCAGAAGTCAACAAAATGTGATAAACTTAAAGTGCTAAAACAGAAGGCACTTCACAAAATCTGTTCACTGAAACAGTTAATATATCCTAGTTTACATCCTTCACTTTATAAGTGGCAGTGAATGTGTTTTTGGATTGGAGGACACACAGAAATATGGACAGTTTCGTGGCAGTAAAAAAATATAAGACAAGGGATGAGCCGCTGGCCAACTTTGTTTGTTTTTGATGACCTTAGTCTACTTTAAATTTCCTCTCATAAGAGGGGAAAAAAACAGAAGGATTCAGAATTGGAAGAAAAGGTGAAATCCCAGAATGTAATCACTTAAGGGGGAAGGGAGGGGATTTGTGGGTATTAAATCACTTTTTCCCCTGAAAAAAAGCCTTTGTTTTTATGGTTGAAAAGAGCCCTTTGTTTTTATGGTTGAAGTTTTGTGAAGTAAAAAAGAAATTATTAGAGAACACTTCAGAATCAGTGAACTAAAAAGGTGTTACATTCATTATTTTAAATACTTAGGTTATTAAGAAGTCTAAAATGTTACAGTTAGAGGTAGATAACAGTCCCAAGTTTCCATGGAATCTAATAATTTAGTATCTGGACATCAAACAGATCACAAACTCCTTCATTATCATCTAAATTAAAGTTGTAGTCATCTGCCGGGGTAGGAGAAAGCCGTAAAAGAGGAAACACTGCAAGTAAAACAAATTCAGTGTTAAACATGGTTTTTATATTACAGTTAATGATGTTTAACAGAATACTCTCAAATACATCTATCTAAATATCTAAAGAAACTATGTTTCTTAATGTTATATAAGAATTTTTAGGAAATAATAGAAAAAGTAATCAAATTAACAACTTGTGTTTAGTGTATATTTTGAAAGATTCTCATTTAAAGATAATTTATGCATAGGTATAGTTTAAGAAATAGAGGTTAAAAATTTTTTTTATTTAAAAAAAAAATTCGTTTTAACATTTATTCATTTTTGAGGGACAGAGAGACAGAGCATGAGCGGGGGAAGGGCAGAGAGAGGGAAACTCAGACTCTGAAGCAGGCTCCAGGCTCTCAGCTGTCAGCACAGAGCCTGACACAGGACTCGAACTCACGAACTGTGAGATCATGAACTGAGCCAAAGTCGGAAGCTCAACCGACTGAGCCACCCAGGCGCCCTGAGGTTAAAATTTTTGTTGGCTGAACTTGTCACACTAAAATGTATGATTCAAAAACAGTGTCAAAGTATTTCCTCTGATCTCTGCTAAATAAGCTCCTACTTTGAAAAGAGAAATAGGAACTAGACTTCATAAATACACTGATGTTTTGTTTCTACAGAAATGTTTATTCTCTAAGTGGTTATTGTACCATTTGCGAATTTAACAGTTGCAGTTTCCTAGGTTCGGCTATATTTGTTAGGAAACAGGACGGAATCCAAGAATTTACAGGAAGGTGAAAGCCAAGAGAGTTATTAAAGTAATTATAATATTTTGTAGCAATTGATTTTTAAGGATTATTTCAGATTAGATGATGACATGGCTAATGTTAGTAATAGTTCACATTGGTAGCTTGACATTGGCCTTTGTGGGCATATTTACAAAACCGGGTTTTGAGATTACCTATATATTATTTTACTTTTCTTGGCCAAATTCTTCAGACATGAAAAAGACTAGTGGACTAACAGTTTAGAAATTTATTCAGTGAAAGTGATAAGCATCCCCTTATTGGCCTTTTTCTTTTCTTGAAATGCAGTATAATAAAAATTGAAGGATGCCTATGATTTACTTTAAAGTGGGAGATTTTTCATGAAGCATCATAGGATGTTAAGCAGTTAAAAAAATACACATTCTGCATTTCTTTTCAATCTTTTGCCACTTATAAACTCTAGAGAAGCATTATTGATATTTAAGTAGTAAAATTTTAAACTACTTACCATCAGAAGACATTAACTCATCAATGATATCTCCACTAATAGATCCTGCTGGAAACAGAAATATGATAATAAAGTTTTGTTACAGTTCTATTTATATATTTTGACAGTAAAAGGCAGTTACTTTAGGAAGCTTGGGTGGCTCAGTCAGTTAAGCATCCAACTCTTGATTTTGGCTCAGGTCACGATCTCACTATTCATGGGATCTAATCTCACATTGGGCTCTGCGCTGACAGCACAGAGCCTGCTTGGGATTCTCTCTCTCCCTCTCTGCACCTCCCCCACTCACATGCATGCACATATGCACATTTTCTCTCTCTCTCTCTCTCAAAATTTTTTAAAAGGCAGTTATGGGGCTCCTGGGTGGCTCAGTCAGTCAAGCATCCAACTTCAGCTCAGGTCATGATCTTGTGGTTCATGAATGAGTTCAAGCCCCATATGTGCTGACAGCTCAGATCCTAGAGCCTGCTTCAGATTCTGTGTGTGTCTCTCTCTGCCCTTCTCTCTTTCTCTCTCTCTGTCTCTCTCAAACATCAAAAAAAGGGCAGTTATTTAAAAACAGCATATATTTAAACAGTAGTGTTTAAAAAGTTAAACACTAGCAGCTTTTATTAAAGTATAGAACTTGACAGAGGCCGGAAGGCCACAGAAAGGCCAGGCTAATGTGTTCTTGTTCAGAAAAAGCAGAAAGCTGCTGGTGAGAGATAAAAATTAGATACTTGGAGTTTGTAAACCGGGCTAAATTCATCATTAGACAGTGTGGTATTTGCTGAAAATAATAAAAACACACAATGAATGGCAGGTGGCCAAGATACCATTTTCATGAGCACCTACTCTGTGTTTGGCATTACTTTTAACTTCTAAACTCAAGATGTAGATCAAAAGACTCCTCATCATTCTCCCAAAACTGACTCCTTGGTTTTACAAAGTCAGTAGTACTGTAATTCTCCCAGTTACCCAATCTCAAAACTTCAACATTACTTTCCATTCCTCTAATTTATCTCCGGATCTCACACATCAAAGTTACTTATTTTATCTTACCTAAACAATACTTCTCAAATCTCTTCTTTCTCTTTCCAATCCCATTGTTATCACCCATCTTAGCCGTAATGTTCTTTTATAGTTCCATAACTGCAGACACCATATATTCATTCTCCATTGCCTCTAATCTCTTCTGTTTCCCAGGCCAAAAGCATCTTCTTGTTACTCCTGTACTCACCAGTGTGCAGTTTCTAAGTTGCTACTTCCCTGCTCACAAATCTTTGGCTTATTGGCTAAAGTTCCAACTCAGTCTGATATTCAAGGTCCTCTCTAAAATCTGACCCCAAATTACTTTCTCTACTATTTCCAAATACAAAACTATATACAGAAACTGCTGAAAAAAAAATTTTAATGCTTTGTGGAAGCTGACTTACTAATGGTGTCTAAATTAAACCACAGAGAGCTTGTCTGTCTTTAGATTTGCCCCCATTAATTATAATTAGATCATAAACTTTTTTATATATATATATATTTTTTCAACGTTTATTTATTTTTGGGACAGAGAGAGACAGAGCATGAATGGGGGAGGGGCAGAGAGAGAGGGAGACACAGAATCGGAAACAGGCTCCAGGCTCCGAGCCATCAGCCCAGAGCCCGACGCGGGGCTCGAACTCACGGACCGCGAGATCGTGACCTGGCTGAAGTCGGACGCTTAACCGACTGCGCCACCCAGGCGCCCCGATCATAAACTTTTTAAGGAGTACACTTTGTTGTGCACGCCCCATTCTATATCTTAAGTATAGAAATACTTCTAGAGGAAGGAAAGGAGGAAAAATACTGTGTCCAGTTAGATCTTTATAGCCTCACTCTTAAGTATTGTGAATTCCCACAGTTGTAAGACTTATGCCACATTCTAATGAGACACATCCCAAAGGTAAAAATAAACAAATTGGATTGTGTACAATGTAGCTTTTAATGATCTGCAATATTACATCTAGACTGGCATGACTTAATTCATTCAGCAACTCTCAGATATTGAGAGAATATCTGCCATGGGCCCTTTATTTGGAATCAAATTTAGATGTGGACGGTACTCCTAATGCCCAGTTTTTGGAGATTTAGCTATTTTCATTTCAGATTAAACAATTTAGGAAGGCAAGATTTCCTAACTTGGAGTTGAGACCATTTATCAGCTATAAAACTAAACTTTCCAAATAAAAAGTATAACAAGGAATATGAAGAGGCAAATATCACTATATTCTACAGTAGTTTGATTTTTCTTAAAGGTAATTGGAACACATTTCAATAATTCATCCTAGAGTGACTAAAGAGATGAGTGACTAAGGTTTACAAAGTAAACGTCTGATAAAAAGTTGATAATGTGGGGCGCCTGGATGGCTCAGTCGGTTGAACTTCTGACTTCAGAAGGTCATGATCTAACCGCTCGTGAGTTCGAGCCCCATGTCTGGCCCTGTGCTGACAGCTCAGAGCCTGGAGCCTGCTTCAGATTCTGTGTCTCCCTCTCTCTTGGCCCCTCCCCTGCTCACACTGTATCTCTCTCTCTCAAAAATAAATAAACATTAAAAAAAAAAGTTGACATGCAAATATTAATGGGGGGGGGGGGGAGAGGGGGGAATGAACAAATTTCTATCAATTCCGAACATGGAATTCTAAGGAAAACTGCATACGTAGGTCCATTAACTATCTTTTCCTTGCTCACAGTATTCATAATGCTACACGGTCTTAGCCACATTATACTATATCCAATTATATATGCTGAATATACAATCAGATTGTGTGTGTATATCACCTAAAAAATCTGTAATAACAGAATTAAAGCAGGATCTGTTTTTAAATTTTCCTCATAATACCTATCCCAGTGTGTCCTGTGTAGGAGACACTATATACTTCTTAAGCTTACCATTTTTCCTCCTGTGTTTGGTAATAGAATGACCATAGCTGACAAATTCAGAAAAGCTCTCCAACTTAATATGTTACTCATATTTTTCCTTCTCTACTTTTTAAAACAAAGGCTCTAGACTCACCTGATGACAAGTCTGTGGCTGGAGTCTGTTGAAGATTTTGGCTTCTTTCAGAGACATGTTGCTCAGGCAGATTCTGAGTTGCTATGTTGGATTTCTGTGGAGTCACTGGAGTGGAGGGCTGAGAGGAGGGTTGTGTGAGGTCATCAGGTGGGGGAACAGGAAAAACCACAGGCTTAGACGAATTGGATTCTTTATTTATAAGCAGCACGTGGATAGGTCCTGAATGACTCTTTAGATTGATCTGGTATTTCTTTTGTCCATTCTGACCCTTTAAGGTTATTGGGTATAAACAAAGGAATAAATATTAACATTTCTAACTACTTTGGAACACCAAAAATTAAGATAAGCAAAGCTATAAAGGACTAATTGTATATATAACATAGAATTATAGAGTCATAGAGTCTAACATAGAGTCAATAAATGTCTTTGACTCAACTAGAGAATGTTTTGAAAAAGACCCAATTTCAAGCAATCTGGTATGGTGGATATTTAAGTTGAACTTTTTTCCTCAGCTAGGATTGCTGTATCAGTTATAGATATAGTCATTTTAACTGACTTTTTAAAAGATTATTGATTATATCATTACTCATTCCTTAATATTTTCTAGCTCAAAAAAATCACATAAAACTTTTATACTCAAAATGTTAAATGATTTATTCAGTCACTTCTATAATTTTACTAAAGTACTAAAGACATACAAACTCATATATAAATACTTTCAGATAGAAAACTTAAAAGCAGTATTTGAAAGTGTTTACACACAATTAGCTCTTGTTCAGCTAAAGATAATACATTTGTCCTTCTTAAGACAGCAGATCCACATTAAGAAAAGTTACCCTGCATACCATTTCTGGAATAGGTACCTCCAGCTGTGTACCAGAAGGTGCTTGAATGGCCAAAAGTGTATCACCTGATGAAAAAAATTTCTAAGTTTAGAAAATACTATTGATCTTGGAATACAGTGGCAAGAATGTGAGCTCTGGAATCAGAATGCTTGGGTTTGAATCCCAGGCTGGGTAACCTTGGGCTTTGGTTCCTAATTCTGTAAAATGGGGGGAATAAACCTTACTGCATAGATTTCTTTTGAGGATTAGATGAGGTAATATATGTAACAGATCTGAGAAGAGGGTAAATACTCATCGCTAGTTCTATTCTCATGAACAAATTTGAATCAAGTTAATTTTGCTTTCATTCAGTCTTGCATAAAGTCTGAAATTCCTGAAACTGTTAGCCTCAACACTGTTTACTTGAGATTTTTAAATTACTTAAGTGACTAGGGATACTAGAAATTAGGTATGATAGTGTGAAATCTTGAGCTTAAGTGAACTTAATTTTAAAGCTAAATTCTATAGCAGACTGTTGAGCTGAAAATTAAAAATACTTTCTCAAACTTTCTTAGAAAGCTCAGGATATATGGTGGCAGAGTAAAGCAATAAAGCCACACATATTGTCAACATAGCCTTGGAAAGTCAGATTTCACTTGGCAAGGTGCTTGGCAGATTTTTTTTTTTATGTGCATAATATGCATGACTGTTTAACAGGCCATACATGACTAATATAAATATGTATACAGAATTTCATTTTACTTGTATTATAATTATGGGGTACAGCCTCCCCCCCCCCACACCAATGTTATTAATACACTGTATTGTCCTGTCAAGGGGAAAACATGGAGGCAGGGGATGGGATGGACAGGGTTAGGAGTAACTGTCCTGGTTATAAAATGGATTAACCTAACTCTGCCCTCACTCTTTCTTTGAGTTCATTTGTGACCAGCACACTGCACATGGTTTCTAAACAGTGCCAGTGAGAAATATATTTGATCAAATTTAATCACTGACCCTACAATTCTGTGACTTTGAAACTGTTTAATCTCCCTCTGATTTAGCTGCCCCTCCCACACAGTTTACACCCACCAATGCAGGCAATGAAGTGAAAACTGTGCAGTTACTGTCATGAGAACGGAAACAAAGGCAGCCTATCACTACAGAGCACTGTAGAGTAACCCAGAACGTCCACAGTTCCTGAAACTAATGACTTAGGGTGAGTGTGTGGGGGAATTTTGACTCACTCTCCGCTAAATAGGTTGACCAGAGGAAGAATGTTAGGACAAACAAATAGTACTTACCATTAAAGCAATTACAGATGTCTTCATGAGTTACATAGGAAAATGTACTGCCATAAGAGTTAAGGAACAACATGTATACCAAGGTCTCGGCATTTAAATTAAGATAATAAATCTGCAGGCCAAAATAAACAAAATGACCAAGTGCGTGAAGGTGTTGCCACACATGGTCAGATAAAGGACGTCTTTAGTCTGAAAAGGCAAAGATAAAGGTCCGTAAGAGGGGTACCATCCTTTGCTCTAAGAAGCCACTTTTGATTTTTCTGACATTTGAGTCCTCCATATTCCTCATGGAGACAGGGCTTCTGGGGCGGGAAAAGAGCGATGGGGAAAAGGATGCGGTCAGCAGGAGTGGAGAGCAACCATACATGTCTCCACATTGAGAATTTTCCTGGTCATGGTTTAGGGGTCTGGGAATGGCCAGAATCTTGGAAAGCAGTGCAGCAAAGTCTATGATCAGCTAGTTCAATGGTTTTTGTGTTTTGGGGCTCCACAAGGTACAGCCTGAAAACCCCATTTAAGTTATCAAATTGTTAAGGAGCTTTGGTCCATAGAAAAGAAATAACAAATGAGATCATGGACTTATTCAACAAATTACAAAACATAAGAAATTGGATACAGTAGTCAAAAATTCATGAGAGGTAGTAGAAGATAAATGCAATTAAGAGATTCCATAAGTATCTAGGTAAGTTTACAAATCAAGAGTATCATGTGTATCTAAGAGAACAGTGATTTTTAGGAAACACATGAAGTACATCACTAATTTTTTCCCACAACTTAATATGATGGATACATAAGCCTTAGTCCCCAACCTCAAGTAGGTTGTATCTTTCCGTTAATATTAGGCAAAAAAGTATCCTGGATTGATTGCCAGCCCATGATATTTTATTTTCAAGCCAAAATTAATTTTTCAAAACTTGAGAGGTAACTGAATTTTTACCACTTCAGAACACTGAGCACAATTATTTAAATATACCTGTGCATTTAACAATTCCTTCTAATATTCAGAGACCCCCTAAGCACACTTTAGCTAGCATGTTGCATCCTATTAATGGTAGATTTAAAGCAATGACTTTTTTCCTCAATGCAACAAAGGAATAATGTTAATAGATGTACTTTGTAATTTTAAGAGGTAAAACGTTTCAAATATTAGTATAAATTATTAGAATATTATAAAATTAAAATACTTTACCCACTTAGAAAACTTTGTGAAACATTAGAATAAAGTAACTGATCTTCAGACTGGAAGAATGCATTATATACATACATATACTACAGCTACATGTGTAACTTATTTAAAAGGATATCTATTGTTAATCGAGTCGTCCATCACATTTTTGATGCTTTGCTGTAGCCACAACTTCTGCTGATCAAGTTCTCTTTCCTTCAGTTCTAGATCTTCAATTTCAGCTTTAAGATATCTTAATCTATCTATGACTTCTTTAGTATTACAGCCAGCACCTACACCTCTTAAAAACGTATGAGAATCAGTATTTCCAGTATCAGACCCAGGTTAACATCACTTAATTTTTATAGTAATAGAACTGAACTAGTAATTCATTCAAGACAAAAATCTTTACACTCTTCTAAAAATCAAGCATTAAAATCCTTAGAAAATTTAAACATCGTACCTCTGAACATATTTGCTTAGAAAATTTATTGGCAAGAACAATCAAATCACAAAAATTCTCAGTGGTTTTGCCATACAGAAAATAAAAATTTTCATAAAGTCAAAAAAAGTTCTATGTTCTAATGGTGTTTTTCATCTAAAAGGACAGGCTAGTGACTGGCACCAAAAGGATGTCAAAGCTGAGGCATGTAGGTGGCTTAGTCAGCTGAGCGTCTGAGTTCGGCTCAGGTCGTGATCTCATGGCTCATGGGTTCGAGTCCCGTATTGGGCTCTGTGCTGGCAGTGCAGAGCCTGCTTGAGATTCTCTCTCTCTGTCCCTCCCCCATTTGTCTCTCTCTCTGTCTCAAAATAAATAAACTTAAAAAAAGAAAGAAAGAAAAGGATGTCAAAGCTACATAGTTACACCTGGAAGTCGCATGATATAGACTGAGATGCTGGTAAATTACAACCTTTTAATATTTTGGTGAGACTCTGGCTTTAAAACAGAACAAAACAAAAGAAAAAACTAGGGCCAAAGAGGACGAATTTGCAGGACAGAAAGTATTTTTCACATTCAAACATACAACCATACAACAGTTAATGAATGACAACATGCATTTCAATCAACCACTATACACAAGGTCATACTCCTATATATGGGACATAGTTCCTATTCTTAAGGAGTTTATATTAGTTGGGAAGCTAAATGCTCACGCAGAAAGGGATCAATAATACAAAGCAGTATGCAGTGTGTGCCAAATGAGTAGCTTGAGGGAGAAAATAAGATTTGAATTTTCAGTGTGTAAATCAGACAGTGGAGACAGCAAGGGAATATCCCAACATAGGAGTCACATACAGAGGCCCAGAGCAGTGTCCAGGGAAAGATGAGGGGCCTGTTGAGAATACCAGGCCAAATGAGAGGGACAGCCAGACGGTATAAAGGTCAGATTTTATACAGCATCAGGAAGAAAAATAAAGGTTTTAGAGTAGGGTATTGGTTTGTAACTTACTTCCATTGTATACTATTTTTTGACTTTTTTTCAATCAGGTCAATTCCCTCTAAGACATTGGTGATATCATAAATTCTTCTTTTTTGCCTCACAGCCAAAGTATCTGCAGCCTGTTTTTAAAAAGGGGAGGGGGGAGACAAAGAACAATGAAATAAAGGGCAATTCCTATTTTAAAATTAAAAAAAGGTTGATTATGAAGTTCACAGCATGAGAACCCAATGCCAAATTTAACCAGTATGTTCAAAGTACTCTCAAAAATTGCAAATACCAAAGAAATTATCCCATTTAAAAGCCAACAGATGTTAGAATGGGAAAAAAATATATAAAGGGTCATGACACAAAGCCCACAAAAATAAAAGAACACAGTGAGAATACTTCATGTCACCTTATGGACTAATCCTGAGAAGGAGCTCCTGATTATCTACCCACATCACTTCCTATTTTATCTGTTCATATACAGTCACCTAAAAACAGCCTTTATTGTTTTTTGAAACTTTGAAAAATTATATCTCAGCAGCTTGTTAGTAATTAAGATATTTGGGGAGTTCTAAATTATACACACACTTCAGGGGCGCCTGGGTGGCTCAGTCGGTTAAGCGGCTGACTTCGGCTCAGGTCATGATCTCGCGGTCCGTGAGTTCGAGCCCCGCGTCGGGCTCTGTGCTGACAGCTCAGAGCCTGGAGCCTGTTTCAGATTCTGTGTCTCCCTCTCTCTGACCCTCCCCCATTCATGCTCTGCCTCTCTCTGTCTCAAAAATAAATAAACATCAAAAAAAAATTTATAAAAAAAAAATAAATTATACACACACTTCAGTACCTTGAAATACGCTATCTGCATTTTTTAAACTCACAATGAAAATGGAGGAGTGAATCATGCCATCCCAACACAAAGCATAAAATCAACAAGAAATCAAAATTCATAGCACTAAGTTGTGGTACCAGCAAATATTATCCAAAAACCTGGTAGTCTGACTAAACAAAAGTAAGGTCAACAAAAATATTTCATGCCACCATGACATCAATAAATGCAGGAATGTTGTACTGTTTGTACTGTTTCTCTGATTGGTTCCCACTCACATTTATGAGCTTTGTTCCCCAATGCAACAGACACAATCTTAAAAAAGAGGTTATCCTGGGGCGCCTGGGTGGCTCAGTCGGTTAAGCGTCTGACTTCGGCTCAGGTCATGATCTCGCGGTCCGTGAGTTCAAGCCCTGCGTCGGGCTCTGTGCTGACAGCTCAGAGCCTGGAGCCTGTTTCAGATTCTGTGTCTCCCTCTTTCTCTGACCCTCCCCTGTTCATGCTCTCTCTCTGTCTCAAAAATAAATAAGTGTTAAAAAAAAAAAAAAGAGGTTATCTACAGCTCTTTTTCAGGGTGAGTTAGACAATAACCTATCTTGAATGTGGAGTCACACTGTAAGAGTCATGGTAATAATGAAAAAACACATTCATGTCCTTACTGACAATATTCAGCACATTATCCAAATTAATGAACAGATTTTAGCTTCACATTATTGTTTGCCAGCTCCCCCAAAGCATTATTACTTTCTTAATTCTTTAAAAACATAGCTCTACACACACACACACACACAATCCAGGAAAGCATATTTTTGCAATCTGGACTTACTTTCTACAGGGAGCAAGTGTGACCAACTTCATAGGCATTTAATGTCAATTCTACCAATCCATTTCTTGTGCTACCAAAATACCAAGTTACCACTGTGCAATTATTCAGATTTTCAGGAAGGGGATCGATCCATGCCTCAGTCAATGGGCCAGGAGAGTAAGTAGGATATGACAGAGAGAATGAAGAACCAGAAACTGAAGCTCTGAGTTCCCAACTCTGATTAGTTTAGTTCCATCTCTTCTAGAGAACCAGAAAATTAAAAGGACTAGGCATGGTTTTGTTGACTTCCTCTTTCCTTGCACTTAGCTTAGCAGTTTCCTCCCCTTCATAAAGTTTCTTGAGTTCGAAGCTGTTTTTCTAAAGAGAAATAATCTCCTGCAAAGTTAACTATAAAAATCTGAAGTTGAGAATTCATCTCACTTCCCTCTGAAGAGGCCCTCTTAAGAAGTAACCCAGAGCACTCCAAGCCAGCTCTACCCGTATCTATGTACTCACACACAAAAGCCTTCACAACCATAGCAATTGCTCACTGGTTAGGGTATTAGGACACGTTTGTATAAATTAGATTGCAAGAGCAATCACAGTCATCAGGCAGAGAGCCATCAATGCTCACTTTTAGCTCAAGACTTTTTACAGTTGATAATCTATCAGGGTGTCTGGGTGGCTCAGTCGGTTAAGCATCAGACTCTTGATCTCAGTTCAGGTGATGATCTCACAGTTGTGGGATCGAGTCCCATGTCGGGATTCTCTCTCTCTGTCTCTCTCTCTCTCCCTCCCCACCAAAAATAAATAAATAAACATTTTTTTAAACAAAGAATAAAGCTTATAATCTATCTAATTTATAATTTATTATGGTTTAACAATTACAAATTTTAGTCCTTTAATTTCCAAAACTAAACATTATTTCTTAAATACTTTTCTATTTAAGTATATAAACACATAAAGGACCAGCATATACAGAACATATGTCTTAAAAAGGATCTCCTGGGGTGCCTGGGTGGCTCAGTTGATTAAGCATCTGACTTCGGCTCAGGTCATGATCTCGCGGTTGGTGGGTTCAAGCCCCACATCAGGCTCTGTGCTGACAGCTCAGAGCCTGGAGCCTGCTTTGGATTCTGTGTCTCCTTCTCTCTCTGC